TCCCCGTTGCCAGCACCCGGGCTGACATCTGGCTTGCCGCGTCCCAGGCGCATCAGCTCCGCATCCCTCGTCCCCGCCGCTCCTCCTTGGGCTGCAGCCCCAGCGCCCCCAACTTCCAGCTCGCTTGGGCCCCCGCGGGTTGGGCTTTATTGTCTGCCCGGCTTTTTCCTTTCACTCGTGGGGTGTGTGACCGGCGTGATAACGGGGCTTGCCCGTCGCTCGCTGGGACCCGGGCGGGAAGGTCGCTGCGACCGTGCTGCGGCGGCGGCTCGGGCGCGTCTCCCAGGGGCCGCAGTTCCGTGCCCTCCAGGCTTCTGGGAGGCGCGGGCTGGGGTTGGCTGTGCCCACGCCCGCAGCCGCTACTTTTAGGGCGCGTTTTGGGGAGGGAGAATGCTGCCAGAGATGCGACCGCTATCAGCCACCCCCAAGGGAACTTCAGCCCCTCGGAATCAGCCACCCCCGAGGGAACTTCAGCCGTTCGGAGGAACCTGGTCGCCGCCCCGCAGCCCCTCCGGCGTAAGGGGAGGGCGCGTCCTGCAGTAGCCAATGGACCATTGAGCAACCAGGTTGCGAATCCGTTTGGCTTTCCGTGGTCCCTTCAAGGAAAATTAGGGGTTTGCTGCATTCCGTGTCTGATGGGGGCTGTTTGTATCGGACAGCCATTTCGTGCTTGCGTCGCTCAGAAGTTATGTAGGAGCCACAAAATTAGGATAAATCTTCCCCTAACTTGGGATAAAAAAATAAGTCTTGGGTTGTCTGTGATATGTTCTCTAACGATGATGGTCCTTCCAGGCACTTTTAATCTTAATTGAGTTTTGAGGCCTTTTGAGAAACTGAGTTATATGGACCTTCTATGCAGAAAAAACAATGCCGTATATACATACGCAAAATTTTCCCTACAGTTTTAGCTGGTTCTGGGACTCCTGTTAAGTAACCTTGCTCCACACAGTGTTTGAGCTCGACTTGTGTAACTTAGAGATATTTTTGCATACATTTCCAAAGCGGTTATTTACAAAACAAAAAAAGCAGAAGCAGCATTTGGAAAGGGGTCTTTTGATGGTAATATTTTCTACTGTTTTTTAAAAAATCAGGCACTAACCGAGTCACTAATATAAGGCTATTGAAATTTCGAATAATGCAATTCTGTGATAGTTTAGATATTTGTGATGTGGTTTTTAAAAAGACATATATACATTTTAAAAAGCCAGAGTTAGATTTGAATCATTCACTTAAGTTTGGTCCTGAAACACTTTTAGAAATTTAATGTAGGCATGAATTTAGTAAAAAGCAGTATTAAGTAGGGATTTTTTTTTTCTAAATTGTATGCTATTTGTCCTAAGGAGACAGTAGTTCAGAGGTTTCCCCAGTTTACAGATGATTCACAAATCCTGTCATCTAAGTAACTTAAGTGATTGAGAAGCTACTTCATTATCCCTAGGGGCTAGAGGGAGTGGTTGCAGTTTATCAGAAAATGTCAAAAGCCATCTGTAATGTCTTTAACCTATTAAAATTTATTCGTGATAATAGCAGCTTGTTTGGAGGTATATCACTGAGGCTTGGTGTCTATTTTTCATTGTTTTCTATGAAGAGAACATTTTAGTATTTAAAGTTGAGTAACGAAGGACTTTGTTATGTTGCAGTCTCTAGAGAGACATTTGCTATGGCATAGAATAATAGTGGAAGAAGATATTTTGTAAATACTACCCAAATTGAAAAAATCTGGACAGTATAGCTGTACCAAAGCATGTATTTTATCTCAATTTGTCAGTAATAAACCATTGGCAAATCAGGACATGGCTTTGAAAAGTTTTTTTTCAGCTATATGCTGAAATAGTGATGTATTTATTGTGTTTCTTCCCTTTTTGAGCAAACATAAATATTTAAAATTATCTTTGATAATTTTAAGTTTTAAAAAGTTTTACCTTAGATGAAAAACTTTTGTTGCTTCTTGTGCAAATGAACAGATGGTGAAGGTCAAGATAATGACCTCTGAGTTGATTCATGTAGGGATCTTTTTTCCTGAGAATTGGAAGGAAATTTTTATTTTTGAAATGTTGTTCAGTATATCTTTTGAATAATTTGAGCAGTTAATTCCAGCCCTAAAATTGGACTTGTCTGAAAACAAAGTGTGAAGGCAGGGATAAGTAAATAATTTCTGGTATTAAAGTGAGTTTATCTTAATATGTGGATTAATTCAAGGTGTCCTGAAACTGGTTTGTTTGTTTATACAAATATATAACTAGACTAAAGGAAAAGCCAAAGGTACTGTAGAACCACTTTCTAAAAATCAGAAGAAATTATTTTTTTAAAGAAATGGCAGTACAAAATAGGAATAGTAAGTGTAGTTTGAAAAATACTGAACTTTAGCCTTCACTTTAGGATTCAGTTTGATTTCGCTTTTCCCATTTTTCAGCTTTATGGAGTAGCTGTTGTAAACCAAAAATAAAATGAGTATTTATTTGTTTATATTTTGAGACAGAGTTTCCCTCTGTTGCCCAGCCTGGAGTGCAGTGGTGCGATCTCGGATCACTGCAACTTCTGCCTCCCGATTCCAAGCGATTCTCATGCCTCAGCCTCCCAAATAGCTGGGATTACAGGCATGTGCCACCACGCCCAGCTAATTTTTGTATTTTTAGTGGAGACAGGGTCTTACCATGTTGGCCATGCTGGTCTCGAACTCTTGGCCTCAAGTGATCCACTGGCCTCAGCCTTCCAAAGTGCTGGGATTACAGGCGTGAGTCACCCCACCCAGCTAAAATGAGTGTTTTCGTAAATTTCCTTACAAAGGTCAAATAAAAGCCTCTGTTTTTTGTATTGGCAAGTGTGGTTAGAAAGGTAATTTAAAATAGACCAATGAGTATGTTTTTTATGCATTTGGTTGATTGCATTTGAGATTACCCTATTGTTCAGAATGTATACTGGTTTCAAACTGGGTGAAGGATAGCCATATTTCCCGTAGGCTTTTGAAATCTAGCATGATAGAGTGATACTTTGAGTACTTCCTAACACCTAATTGTGCTAAGTATGTTCCTTTTCATAAATAATATTTTAAAAATACTAACTCAAGCCAGGCGCGGTGGCTCATGCCTATAATCCCAGGACTTTGGGAGGCCAAGGTGGGCGGATCACCTGAGGTCAGGCGTTCCAAACCAGCCTGGCCAACACGGTGAAACCCAGTCTCTACTAAAAATACAAAAATTAACTGGGCGTGGTGGCGTGCGCCTGTAATCCTAGCTACTTTGGAGGTTG